CAAACTCGTCCAATTCATCTCAGTTCAATGATGCAGGCAACTAGAAGAAAAAACTCATCTTTTTCGATTAAAATGGGTTTAGATAAGATATTGATTTTTGTTTTCTTTTTTTTGGGTTAGATTTTGTTATGAGGTTCATATTGGAACTGCGGGTCATGAAATCCGTACTTGTACCGGTCCAAAAAGTGGTTCAAGGAGTGCCACTCATGTATGGAGGAAAAAGGGTGAGTGATGTGATCCCCCTCCCAACAAAATCTTTCCATCTCTATGATCGTGTTGTGAAATCAAGGGTTGTTCATGATGAAAGTCATAGTCCCTCGAATCCCTGCAATTCTAGAGCTTTGTATACAAGCTGGCGTAGATGTTGAGAACCCTTCGAAGAGAAGAACAAAGCCTGTATACTCTATAGATGAAATGGAAAGCAACTTGTTTTTCAAGAATGATAACCACTCTGAAGTTGGTGTATTGACGAGGGAATCGAATTTGGAGCTAAATGATGAAGATATTAACCTGATAGAGTTGAGTATTAGGACATTGAATTCGTGGTTTGAAATGATAGGAGGTGCGAAGAAGATCATGGAGAAGTACGGTGTCTGGACGTGCGGGTATTGTCCGGAGGTTCAGGTTGCTCCTAAAGGACATAAAGTTAGGATGTGCAAAGCATCGAAGCACCATTCTCGAAATGGCTTGCATGCATGGCAAGAAGCTACTATTGACGATCTTGCTGGTCCTAATTATGTCTGGCATGTTTGTGATTTGAACGGTCCTCCCCTGCGTATGATTTGAAGAGATACTATGGTAAAGCCCCTGCTGTGGCGGAGCTATGTGTCCAAGCTGGTGCACCTGTTCCGGATCAGTATAGAAGTATGATGAGATTAAAAGTGGTTCCTCCTGAACGTGATGAAGTTGATCTCGTGGCATGAATTTCTGTTGTATGAGGAGGTATCTCGTGCATTAACCAATGATCTCCCGAAAAAACCTTCCGATCCTAGGTTTTTACAGCTAAATTGTCACTGTTGTATTGGATTTACTACTAACCAAGCCTCAACAACTCAGCCTTCATGTTTTCAGGTTTGAAGTGTCACTTTCATCTCGAATGCTGAAATTACAATTCCTGATGTCCTTATGACAGCTCCTTCCATTAGCTGCATATTTGAAATAAGAATTTCATGAAAGCGATCGAATTGGTCGTGCCTCTGAAATGGTATAAGCTATGGAAACATCAGGTTTAAAGAGGGAGTATATGTTTAGGGATGAGCATAAGGTAGCTTCTCTATTCAAGTACCAAATTTTTTGTGCTCTAGACCTATTGTAATTACAAGGTGGTGGGTCATTTTTACTCTTCATATTTCTGTATCTTCTGGCTATGTTTTTGGTTTATGTTCAAAAGGAAATAGAAATTATAAAAGATATAAATCTTTTTATTTGAGGTCCAAGATTTAAGTCCTATATACCAATTTCCATCATATTCAAGTCTTAGTTTACTTATACAAAAATGCTTAAATCTCCATGTCCAATTTACCTTAATTATGTTGCTTGGATTTGGGTGTTAGTGTTGGATATAGTGTGTCCAACATGAGTATATTTAATCTTTTAGAAGTCTTTCTAGTACTTAGAAGGTGTCCGGATGTGAGAAGCACTGATACTTTAAAGTTAAAATAGTTTCAGATTTATAGTTATTTGTACATACCCACATTTTAAGTTCGGATAACATACGTCATCAGTATTTTGGATGATCAGCAGAGCTATATTTCTAATACACATTGTTTTTTCAGGTGAGGTTCATGATCTACAGCCATTGTCTTTCTTTTTCTTTGCATGAGACTGATAATTCTTTCTTCAAGTTCAATCAATAACTGAACAATAATGGAACATTTTCATGCAGCCATTGCTGCTTCAATTTCAAGCTGTTGAAAATCAATCAGGGCTACCGTTTTCCGAAGTGTTCATTCACATTCTCGGGTCTTTGAGTTTTTTTAGTAGGTTGAACTGACAGGGTTCAGCAGGAAGGCATGAGTCTAAGCCATTTCTAAACAGTGGATCCAAATGTGATTAGGGTGCAACTCAGTTGTCTCTAGGATTGAGCAGAGGTTGGTTATATTTAGTTCGATTATGTTGGTTTAGATTGAATTAATCGGTTTCAATAGGTTAGCTCAGTTATATTTGGATCCAACTATAGTAGGGACACACGGTTTGCTGACATCAAATTATCAAATCTTAGAATCGATTTCACTCGCCATAATAAATGAATAACAACATTCCCTATTATAAAACTACGATAGGGTGGGTTGTTTTGACTGACGTGAACAAATCTGCTGTTTGAACAGATTGGCCAGTTGGAAGTTGAGAATGCTATCCCCAGGAGGAAAGTTGACTCTAGTAAAGTCTGTTATAGTAAACCTTTCTGTTTACTTTCTCTCCATTTTCGAAATGCCACTGATTGCGAAATTTACTTGGGGAGCCTCTGAAAAGGGTTCCATTTACTGAGTAAAATGGAAAGACGTATGCAAGCCGAGAGAGGGGTCAAGCCTCGGGGTTTTGGACCTAAAGTAAAAAAACTGAGCGCTCTTGAACAAGTGGATTTGACGATATGGCTGTGAATCTAGTAGTTTGTGGAGGAGAGTTCTGGCTGCAACATAAGAATTATCACAATTGAATGTTGTTCCTGTCTCTTGAGAGATCCCCAAAAATTCTTTTGTGGATAGAATCAAACTAGTTCTTGGTGATGGAAGCCTCATAGATTTCTGGTCTAATCATTGGCTCGGGAATTATGCTCTCAAGGATGCATTCCCAAGAATTTTCGCTCTTGCTGTTAACAAAAGTGGCAAGGTATGGGAATTCGGTTCCCATTGTGCCTTGTGTCTCAACTCTCAAGGAGGAGTCAGTTTGTCATCTTTTTTACCATTTCTTATCTCCTTGAAATTATACAACGATGATATCATCTTTAGGGCATTCATTGGGTGATGTCTGCAAATCTTAAGAGCTTCCTTGTCTGAGCTAACGCTCTATCAGCATCCTATCCTCCTCTGGTCTGGCTTCTTTGGTATGATGTGGTCCATCTGACTTTTTTCTCAATGAAGTTGTAATTGCTGGTTTGCGGATTAGCTTGTGGTGTGAAGGGACATGGTCGGAATCTGTCAACTGTCTTCAACATTTTGTTGTGCCTTCCTGCAGCAACGCCTATCCGCCCCGCCCCAATAAGTCAACTCGATGTTCCAAAGATTCAACTTAGATGCTCTGTTGGAGAAGCATGGATTGGGGGGGGGGGGGGGTTCTTAGAAATTACGGTGGTAAGTATCTCATTCGTTTCTCTAAGTCAATTGGTCCAGTGTGGAGCAGAGTTAAATGGCATCAAAGAAGCATGTCTGGTTTTTAACCTCTCAAAATGGGTTGATCACCATTACAAATTACTCATTCAATCTCACTGTAGCTTAGTTGGATCAACAATCCCGCCTCTACAGTTCTACACTAAATTACGTTTCTGCAACGTGTCTCATTCACAGGTGATTCATACCAATAGGGATGGAAACCTCGATGTGACTATTTTAGCTAATGATGGAACGTCATGTATCTTTCTTGTAATCAGGGATAAACTGGGACCGGTTGTCCCTAAAAGTTTTAAGTTTTTGTATTTTTTTTTTGTATTTTCGATTAAAATTTTGTTTTTGTCATTTCTTATAATATTATAAGTTCGCTCCTAACGTAAAATCTTTGATACGTTTCTAGTTGTAATGGTTTTGAACTCGTGTTTTAATGGGATCAATGTTAATAACTTTGGCTACTCTTTTGCTCTCCGGCTGTGTTGATTTAGACTTTTGAATCAAGTTGTGAAGAGATTTTTAACTAGACATGTTGCTTTAACATATGCCGTGTATGCGCAAGGAATTATTGCTTTAGTCATTGTTCAGCTGTAACCTAAAGCATTAGCAACCTTATCTAACTACTTTCATTAATCTTGCCATTATAGGTTGGGCTGGCCCTTCCTTCTATATTTAAACCTATACTTTTAAACTTACATATACTTAAACTATATTAAACACTTTAATTAAGAATTTCATTACAGCAATATCTTCTAATATAATTATTCAATTTTAACGTATTTTAACTTAATTTTATAGGGTTGATTTTTTGTAAAATCGATATCATTTCAGATTTTATTAAAAATAAAATCAAATCAGAGTTAATTTATGGTAAAAAAACCTTCCTTTCAATATAATAGTATAATATCCTCTTTACATTTAGAGACAATTACTATAACATCTTTATTTATATATTTTTCAATTATCTCTCTATTTTATCGAATAAAAAAATTATTTGTGTTAGATCGTATTGGATATGACAAAATTTTACCTAAAATTTTAGTCGTATGAAAAATAAATAAACACCGAATTAAATTAAAATCAAATAAAATTTTTAATTTTCAAACGAATTCTGAACAACCAAAATCTAACCCAATCTACAATATTTATTCATAATTATAGCAATAATAATACTAATCAAATTAAAACTTAATCAATTAAATTAAACTTGTGAATTCCAAATCCGAACAATTCCCTTATCCTCAAGAGACCCCTCTCTATAAAAGTAATTATGTAATTTTACACTCTTACATACAAGGGGCTATTTGTGTATATATATATATATATATATAACATTTTCATTTTTGGGTACGTCAAACATAAATTAACTTTATAAAATATAAGTATTTCCATACTTTAAAACCATATATTTCATTAAAATACACTTTAAAAAATGGATAATAATAGTTTTGATTTTCAATTATATATCATAAAGGAAAGACACAAATAAAGAGAGAAAGAAGAAAAGGTCTACAAATAAACTTGATAGGGCATGAGGTTTCAGCATTTTCAGCTATCTTCATCCCTTGTTCACACTGTCTTTTAATTAGGGCATATACAAATCCACAGATACACCACGAAATCCCCCTTTTCTCCACTCTTCTTTTCCCTTCATTTTCTACTTGATTTCACTTCCAATATTTTAGTTCTTTTCTTTTTAATTTCCATGCTTTTTGCTTTGGTTAACCTGAGAAAACTATGTGTATATATATATATTGTTTGGTTTGTTGGTTTTGCATGATACATAGAAAAAGACCATAACCAAAAAGGGGAAACCTTTCAAAGGCAAAGTGGATCGACGACAGGGGAAGCGGCCATTTCAGTATTCCGGTCATGAACCGGAAGCGAAAGAAGAAGAAGCCGGAGGTGCCGGTGCCGATGTCGAACATATATTTCCGGTCTACTCAGCTAGGTCTCAGCAAGACATGAATGCTATGGTTCAAGCCCTAACTCAAGTTATTGGAAACAATAACAATAACCCACTTGTTCAACTTCATGATGATCATGATCCCAGCCCCACTGATCAACAAGACCAATCTCATCATCAACAAGCTCAAGCTCAAGGTGTGTCTTGATTTTATGTGAATATTCATAAGCCCTAATATATAGTTATATTTTCTTCAAAAAAAGAAAAAAAAAGAAAAAGAAAAAAGATAATATAATCACTAAAGAGTATGTGGATTCACTTATTTTTCTTCCTTTGCGGCCTGGTTCAGATTACAGCCGTTATTCATGTTCTAACTCGACACGTATCTTCGGTTTTTTCCCATTTAAAAGCTTGAATTTGAAGTTATTCTTTGATTCTTTTTTTTTTTTTGGTTTTCTTTTTCATTACAAAACACATAAGAAACAAAACATGTCAAACTCAAATTAGTTAAAGTCTGAATACGATGTAGATTGTTTAAGACTTTTTTTGTTGTTGAAAGGGAATGCCCGGAGAAGACACTATCGAGGAGTAAGGCAAAGGCCATGGGGGAAATGGGCAGCCGAGATTCGTGACCCCAAAAAGGCAGCTCGGGTTTGGCTCGGAACGTTCGAAACAGCTGAAGCAGCGGCCTTAGCCTACGATGATGCAGCACTTAGGTTTAAAGGAAGCAAAGCAAAGCTTAACTTCCCCGAAAGAGTTCAAGGAAGATCCGAATCCGGTAATTTCTCAAGTCGTCAAGAAATTGAACGGACGGTGGCGGCGACGGCGACACTACCACCTCTTTCTCAACCAACGTATCCCAATATTTCTCAGTATGCGCAGCTCCTCGGTGGTGGCTCAGCCACTCCTTTCAACTATGCTATGCCAAGTGCAGCCTATGGATCCTGGCCAGCTTTTACTTCTCAGTCGTCATCTTCATCTTCCGCAACGTTATCATTTCAACAACATCAACAGCAACAACAAGAACAAGAATATTTGGGTGGATTTTCATTGCAGTTCGGTCGTTCATCGCCAACTTCGGATCATCCCGAGAACACGAGAGATTATCATTATTACTATTCAAGGGAATAGAGTAATATTTAAATGATGTTTTGTTTTTAAACTTTTGCATGCATTTCGTTTCCTTATAATGTTTGTTTAAAACCCTTATTTTCCTTCAAGTTTCCACCCCCCCAAAATTCCATAATCGTTGGTTTGATCATAATTTCACGTATTTCTTTAAGCTCTCTTTCTAAAGTAGGTTAAGCTTGAGCAAAAATGCAAAAAAATTAGGGTCAGAAATGCATCAACTGCAGTTTCTTCACATGCAAGGAATCTGTAGGTTTTTTCCATATCCACCGCCTTGTAGATACTAGTCCGAAATGATAGCCTTTTCGGAACTAGCAAACCCAGGTTATATCCTAACATCAATGCTGAATGTAGAAATAAAGGTAGGTCACATCATTAACTTTTGTTGTTTTTCGTCTTTATTAGGGATGAACATGAGATCCGAACTCGACGGGTTTCGACCTGATCCGACTTGATCGGGTTCGGTTTTTTTAATTTCGGGTTCGGATCGAGTTGGATCAGATTTTTTAAAGGTAATGTTCAGATCGGATTAGATTCGGGTTTAGGTAAAAATACCCGACCTGAAAAAATAATTTTTCCTTATATATTTATGAATAATTACAATAATATCCTCTATATATTATTTTTTCCTATTAAATCACTGTTTTTATTGAATAAAAATAATATTTTTATTATTATTTCGGATCGGATCGAATTCGAATTTTACCTTAAAAATCAACTCAGGTTAAAGTATATATTTTTCTGGTCAGATCGGATGAAGGATGTAAAATTTTTGGATCTGGTCGGGTTGCCGAAACCCGACCCACACCCATCCCAACTCTTTACCAACATTAATCTATTGACCTGACAATTAACGGTCAAGATAACTTATAACAAACAATAATCCCACTACTAAACTAACAAAATAATCTTAGAATCCCTTTCTGTATTTGTAGGGATACAAAGATTGACCATTGGTGACTTTTAGTCCAAAATAAAAAATAAAATCTTATACCATCGTTAAATCTCTTTATCGACAATCTATTTGAACACACTAAACCTCGACTTCATGTGTATACACATGTTCAAACTTTGCTTTAATCATATGGAAGGATACTCGTAGCCATTGACGTAGTCAAAGCTACAACGCGTTTAATTTTAATTTTTCTATACAGATCAAGGGTAATTATCTCACAATTTTGGCCCAGTTATTTATCCATATCTATAATGGTAGTGGATTTCTTTTACTTTCCGAGCCTGCCACGTGTCATCAATCAATATTTTAAAAACGAAAAAAAAGGGAGAACACTTGATAACTTTTAAAAAAAATCATCATCTCAAATTATGTGTTTATCCATTAATTAAAATTATTATAGAAATTATATTTGGAGGTATCTCACAAAATTACTCTTAATCTATGTTAGATCAACCTATTATCCTACCTCCCCTTATCTCATATGAAAATAAGGTAAGCTAATATATCATCTCTTGCTTTAAAAGCGTTTCACAGTGCTTTTCTGTTCCTTCTACGAAGCATTAGAGGTAGGGTTTATGCGGAGATAGGGTACTTATATACCAACTCCTACGTACATCGCTAACTGCAATTAAATATATTGGACTGTTCAATTAAAACATTAATTAATTATCCCATCCTCCCAAATAATTTAAAATCTATTTGATTATAATAATGGAAAATTAATTAACTCAAGTAAATTAGACTTAAAAATATATTATTATTATTATAAAATCCTGATAAAAGATTAATGATATTATGAAAAAGAATAATATTGCCTATTATTATAATATATTCATCAACGAAATGATACATCATTTTTTATTAGTCTGTAGTGATTTTAAGGTAATATATGTTTATAATTTTTTTAACCTATTGATAACACTCATACACGTAAATCCAGCTGCTCAAACACAAGAATTACTTAATAAGTTCATGATACTTTTTGATTATAAAGACGTGAGATTTGGGTTAATGTTGTTATTAATATATTATTATTATTAATCAGAAAGAAAAAAAATGAAATGCATACGTGAGATTACTTAATATATTGTTTTTTCCCACTCATTATGAGATACCACTTCTTTGTATTACCAATGTTTTCTTCATTAATGCACAAGAATTTTATAAAATTTATAAGAAATTTTGAAGTAAAACATGAGAAGAATAATAAAGAAATTAACTGCTTAATTATCAGTTAACGTACCTGAAACTAATACATAATAAAAATAATATTTATTATCTTAACAAGAGGTAAATCTAGAACTTGTTTAGATATGAGTAAACTTATAACACGCAAACTAAGTTCATTCATCATATTAAAATACGCGATAATTGAATCAATACCTTAGCCAATACACCTTATAATAGTGATAAGTGATCTAGAAAGACGACTAAAGACATTCATAGAAAGAGGTTAATTCTTCACACTTATATATGTGATTTTTTTAGCACAAACCAAGTGACCTCCGTGGTAAAGAAATTGTTGTTATTCGTTGAGGACCCGGGTTCGAGCATCATAGATGCCAAGAGTGTGAGCGTTCAATATTGAGAGGCTGAGAGTTACTTTGAATAGATACTACCTTGTACTTACCCCAAATATATTATATATATGTGTGTGAGATTTTGAATTCTCAAAGACTTAAGTTGGTATAATTTTCAAATATCAATTTTGAATAAAATAGTTAATTTTAATAGATACATATGATTTTTTACCTAATTTTATGTACTAATATATTATTCAATTCATCGGTCGTTTTGAGTATTACAAAAATTATTATAAATCAATCAATTTAATTTATCTCATATTTATTATTAAACTCTAAACAATCTAAATATTATTTAAAATAATAATTCTAATAAATCAATTAGTAATCGATAATGTATTATTATTTAATTAGATATAAAATTAGGTGAATCCTTTATGTACAAAGCATATATACTTACGAGTATGAATTAAGTGATCTCAGTGGTTAAGAAATTATTGTTATCCTTTGAGTTTTCGGATTCGAGCATTATATATATAGGGAGTATGAACATTCATTGTCAAATGATTGAAGAATCTTTAAACATATACTACCTTATATTTACCACATATTTACCCATAAAAAAACATATATACTTATGAAAAGAAGAAAAAAGAATCCACGTGCGCGAATACTTTGAGTAACCACATTTCAACCTATGATACTTGTAAATACATTAGTTTAGAATCCACGTGTGCGCGGATTGAAGAATATATTACTTAATTTATGTTTTGGTCATCCAACAATTATGTTTTTTAAAATGATTTCTAACATTACTTTTTATTTCTATTTTGATCTCATACCGTTTAAAACTTAACAGTGATGCTGACATGTTATTTTTTGTAAAATTAATTTTCAGTATTGACATGAAATTACCTTAAGGTGGCATTTTAACATTATCATTAATTTTAAACAGTAGGTGACCAAAATATAAATTAAGTAATAGATGAGTACCCAAAACATTAAAGAAATCTTTAGGTTATAAATTAAGGGTCTCATTTAATAAATTGCACATGATTCCTTAAATCTTTGATTCGCCCCCACATATTTAATGGACTCATATTTTTTAAGTTAGATAATCTGATCCTTCTCGGTTAAGGACGACAATTCCGACCGTAAATTCTTATATTTATAAACATCCAATATATTTTATTTTATAAATTTTTAAAAAATTGGTGTTTAGGGGGTACGTATGAAATTAAAATCTTTATGGACCATTGATGAAATGATGTTTTCTTATCGATAATGTTATAATAAATTAATTTAATTTTACATGACGCTACAGAAGTAATTCATGTATGTTTTAATCACTTTAACATCATTAAGACGTGTTTTGGAAGCTTAATTGCGTATTTTTATACTTTTTATGATATTGCAATTATTCTATGAATCAGTGGTAATGCAATATCTTATCTTTACAATGAATATTGTAATACAATATATATGTGTAAATATTTATTGTTCAGTTGAAACTAATATCTACAAAAAGTGAAATAAGTGGAGATAATTAATTATTAGGGTAAAAATATCTTCAATAAAGAATGGAAATCATCATTAGTGAAAGAATTATTTTCAAATAGAATCTAAAAACGGAAGATGTTATTATATATATATATATATTAAACTGTTTTATTATGAAGTGATTACAAAGTTTAATTTTTATATACATATATATATTCTATAAATATAATTGTTAGAACTTATAATTTTTAAAAATATTATTTTTCACTTAAAAAATGATTAGATGAGTTAAACGGATATATATATATATATATTTTAGTAACCTATAAATATTAAATCTAAAATTTATTTAAATATATACAGAGACATAAACACAATGATAACAACCTGTGAGCCCAATCTCCACGGCGCGTGCGGGAGATGTGAAAACGGAAGGAAAGCAAAAGAGTGAAGTGATGGGATAACGGCAGAACCGAGTGTTGGGGCGGCTGCCATGCGCAGCTGAATTCTCGAATGTTTGCGGTGGGGGGTCAAACTTGGCGGCAACTTCGCCTTTTCCCTGTTTCTATTTCACATCCGTTTCCACTTGTTTAAGTGTTCTAGCAATCATCATATTACATTCAATGATCCAGACCCTAAAACTGAATGAAGGAATAAAGTAGATATGAGTGGGGAAACATATTTAATGAGCCGCTAAAACTGATGAACCGTTCCACGTTCGAAAAAGAGCAGGCATGATAGCTTTCTGTCAGGGGAGGCGTTTCTGAATTTTAGTCAACACACTTAATCTTATTGTGCTTGAAACTATTTTCATCACAAAATTTTATAATATATATACGTTAGATGAAGGTAGGCATGGTTAATATAATTTTTGATCAACAAAAAATGACGTTAATCATTATGCTGTTGGTAGTTTATTTACAGTGTTAGTATTATAATTTATGCAAGGATTAAAGTAAAAATAAGTACCTAAATTATGCTCTATTTTTTTTAAATACCTAAACTATTTATTTTTATCAAACTAAGTACTTAAACTATTATATTTAATCATTTTAAGTTCTATTATTCTTTTAGTTAGAAAATTATTTTTCAACCAATAAG